TGGAAGTTAATGGAAGCAATTTATCAATGCCTGCATCACACAACCAAGTTCAACAGGAAGGTCCTGGCATCCAAATTTGTGGGGTTGATAATAATTCCTCTTTAGAAATTAAAAGTAATGGTGACAAGGTAGATAACTGTAAAGCCGCCATTCCTGGTCTGTCTCAGAAACTTAAAGAAAGCAACAAGGGTGTTTCAGTTACACACATGGGAGGGACAAATGGTGAAACTTTTACTTGGCCTGCTAGTGTCCATCCAGAAGAGCCACGGAGAAATATATATAATAGTATCTCCCAAAATTTCTATGATAATGGCTGTGTAATCAGACAAGCAGGAAAACTCATCCCTGGATGGAGTTTTGTAAATGAAGAGGATGATGCTTCAGAGGAGCTTGACGATGCTGCAGTAGCCTCAGAAAAGGATGAAAATAAAGAGGAAATGGGAGATTATGTTATCTCAGGAGCTGAAGAAATCGCTCAAATGAAAGATGAGGGTGCTTACAAGATGGATACTGCAGTAGGAATCAACACCAAGGATCTGCCTTAATATAATAACTGGTGATCGATTCTTGTTTGACATGAAGTGTAGTTGATGGTGGATGATTCTGCTCAATTGGGCCAACAATTTCTTTTTTGGATTGACATTTAAGAGAGGTTTGCCCAAAATTTTGTAGAAGAGCAGGCCAGGGCTTAGTTCACTCACAAAATTTTTATGTAAATTACTTTTTTTATTCTATAATTTAACTAAAGTTGTTTGGTAAGATGGAAAGAGAAAGGATGGATAATGGCGGGTGCAAAAGTGAAAAAAGAAAATAGTTTTTATTAGTGTTTAGTAAGAGAGGAAAATGCGAGGAAATAAAATAAAAAGGTCATTTTCTATCCTTTTAAATAGATTTTACCATTCAATTGTTTGTACCGAATTTATATTATATCAAATATATGTAAAATATAAAAAGTTATCGTGTCAAATACGTATCAAAATATTAAATATAAAATATATTTTATTATTTTAATTAAATTTATATATAAGTTTTATTAAAATTTTAAATTATTTTTTTAAATTATTTTCATATCTTATCATTATATTATATCTAAAATTATCAGGCTAGCTTTAAGCTTCTCAATCTCTCTTTTTCATTTCATTTCATTTCTTGACAATCCAAACAAGGGACTTATTACGCTTCTCATCTCTTCATTTCATTTCTTTAATTCTTTTATCCTCTTACCTGTACTAAACCAGGAATCAGCCAAAAATTTGCCCCCAATCTTATCAGAGCATAACACGAAGACAAGAAATGTCCAAATCAGGCCCAACCGTGGTTCAACCGAGACCCATAAAATAATCTGTTGACCCCATTTAACCATTTTTGTATGGATTATAAATGGGCCAGCCAACAGGCCTGGACTTTAGAGATTTTTTTGAAGTAAACTACATATTTTTTTTAATTTAAAGAATTACTACAAAAATCAAAATTAAAATATTAATTATATATGTGTAACCGTAAAATGAAAAGCTAAAACATTTGAGATTTTTTGAGGTTAAACTTTACCATTTGAATTAAGCCTCAAACACATCTCTAAATCCTTTAGTTTCATAGCATTGCTGGCTAAAAAATTTAGAGTTTAGGTCATTAATTAATAACTTTAATCATATTTGAAATAAGAAAGAAAAAGTTTGAACTCTTTAACATATATACTAATAATCAAGAACAAGAATCCAAAATTTTAAATACCTTAATTCAATTGGTTCATATAATTATAGTGATAACGTATAAATCTGTGAATTTATCGCTAGATATGGATTAGAAGAGTCGCCATCAATCTTTTTTTTACCTAAGTATGATTGGTCATCTAATCGAATATGATATACGAAACCAAAATTTAAATTCAAGAGTACGATTACATGTGAGGAATGTTATAGTACATTTACAACACCCATCCAAATGATAGTACTAGTTTGATCTTAAATTATTCAAGTTTAAAAAATATTTATGTTTTACAAAAATATTTAATATTGAGAATTAATCTTAAAATTGTCCATATATTTTGGTAACAATCTAAAATAATTTTCTCACATCAAGAATATTCATGAAAACTAGTGTCCCACTCTGAAGGAGCTTTGTCTTCGAATTTATTGAAGTATTTTACTTTGAGACAGATTTTTTAATAGTTTGGTGAGATTTTATTTGAAAATATTTATAAAAATTTTATTTTTTAAAAAATTTATTAAGTCTTCCAATAACTTGAAAATACTTAATTTAAAAAGTAATCCTCAAATCGTTTAGAGGATAAAATTATTTTTTTATTTTATTTATTATTATTTTTTTAAATTGATTTATGAAATTTTTTAATAGTTTAGTGGATTTCATAAACCTATTTGAAAAGATTTTTTTTATTCTTTTATATTTGTTTTATTTTTGTTGAGTTTTTAAATTTATTTGAAAGGATTTTTTTGTTTATTATTATTATTATTATTTAATAATAATAAAATTTTATAAAATACTTAGTAAAAATAAACAATTAATAAAAATCAATAAAAGAAATTAAAAATAAGATACATTAAAAATAATAAAATAAATAAAATCAAAAAATAAAATGAAAATGGAAAAGAAAAACCTGCAATTTGGATCAAGTTAGAGCGCAGGTCGACATGCGAGTCAACAAGTCAGCGCACAGATCATGGGTTATCAAAACGATATCATTTTGGGTCAGTATAAAAGCCAAGCTCAGAGTTTTGGACCTCTAACATCATCTGCTCTCTCTTTCTACCCTAATTTTTTCTAACCTCTCTCTAAAACAATCTTTAAAAATTCAACCGAAATTTGGGTTTATCATTGATTTTTGAAAAATTGGTCAAAATCTGACTAGAAAATTCAAATTTCTATTAGAAAATTCATCAAAAATTTTAAAGCTCTTTAAAAAATCTAAAAAACTTAGAAAAACAAAAAAAAAGCCCAAAATTTTCAAAAAAACCTAAACCCTTACAGAAATCCCAAAATCCTAATCTTTATTTTCTAGAATAGAAATCCAAAACCCAAATCTTTTCTAGAAATTTCAAACCAAACCTAGAATTCCCAAACCAAAATCTCATAAACCTAACTCCCAGAAAACTTTTCCAACAAATTTAAATACCAAGTCCTTCCTTGTCAAAATCCACCATGTCTATTCCTTTGATCTTTAGTTCGATTTATAGGCAATTTTAAGATAGATTTTAGGAAATGGACAGAACCAATCTAGGCTCAAATTCTGAGATTGGGTTTTGTCCAAACCCCAATTTAGGCTATGTTTCAACAATTTATCCGATTTAAAATAAAAAAATCCTTGATTATGAATTAAAGCCTTTGATCATGTGGATTAAGTTCCTTTTGATCCATATTTTAGTTCCCATGTTCAATCGTAGATTAGAAGAAAAAAAAAGAAAAAATAAAGAAAATAAATAATAATAATAATAATAATAATAATAATAATAATAATAATCATATACAATAATATATCAGACTATATAAAATTATGAAATAATCAAAACCGACTTCAATCAACCCCGGACATAGATGGATGTTTACAATTATCTTTTAAAAAAATATTTAATGGATTTAAAATTTAAATCATAATATTTTTAATCCCTTCCTCTGTCAAAAAAAAAAAAAATCATCTTTAGGTGGAGAAAAGCATATTTAGTATATCAAAAGTAAACAAAGAATGAAATTAATCCTACCTAAAGTTTGAATAAGGCAAAGCCTTGGATTCCAATGTTCAACATATTAAATTCATGGACCCAAATGTATATATCAATCCTCCTTAATTAACCACTCCCATCTCATCTGCAAAAACTAAACTATAAAATGTGGATGAAATTTTCCTTTTATTTTTTTTTATAAAATTTATAAAGCTGATTCATTTATATCACTTTCAGAAATGTAGAAATGAATAAAATTGTGTCATGTTCTGGTGCGACCATTTCTAGTCTTATGCATGGTGGGTTATTATTAAAATTAAAAATTAAAATTAAAAATCAATCTATTAGGGGACAATTAAAAATTATTGTAGGTAAAGAAAAAGAAAAATTATATCACTTGTGGGAATCAAAGTCAGGTTACTTGTTATTTGAATGGACAGGTGACCGAAAACTTATATCTTTAAGTAGCTATCATGAAAAAGCTGGTTTCCATTTCACTGTCTCAGAATTAATCATATGCTTGCAATATTTTGATTCTGTTCTTGTTTTTTTAATCATTCATTGCATTTTATCTATCATGTTCTTATCAACCATAGTTTTAACTTCAACTTCAAGTTCATGTATACTATATATTGTTTTAATTTAAAGAATACTTGATGCTTTCACATTCACATTTGGAGACATAATCTTAGTTGTAAGAAAACTTATCAGGCTTAACAAAAACAGCTCAAATGATAGTGATTTGTGAGACATACATACATATATATATATATATATCTTAAATTTGAATCATATCTAATATTTTTTTGTTTCACAAAAACAATGTTTTTTATCCTTTTGTTGTTCGGTGGAGGTGATAAAAATACCATCCCAACTGAAGGAATGGGGTGGAAAATTTGTGCAATTCCAACCTTGCAAATCCAAATTTTATTTGAGCCATTAATTGAATGCAGATGCAATTGCGGGGTGATGACTGATGAGGCCTTTATATCTATATATATCTGTAAACATATATATATATATATGTATGTATGTATATAAGCCGAAAACAACATTGTCAACGAGGCTTCCACGTGACTTCCCCATTTTTCTCCGCCATGAAACTTCCATTTGTTTACTCCCTTACGTAATCCATCCCTTGCCACCCATGAGATGAGAGACGTTAACATTTCCCCTCCCCTCTCCCTATTTTTAGTCAAAATTGTTTTGTCTTTCTTTCCCGATTCCCTGATCAATCTCCTTTAAACACGCCCTTCAAAAACATCCAAAAAGAAGAAAAAAGAATCCAACACAAAAGACCTATCGATTTCTTCAGCTTAATTTCCAATGGCTGCAACAGCAACAACAACCCAAAGCCAACCTCCAAACCCTTTACTAAAAGCACCCAAAGGACCAACAAGATCAAAGCTTGTTTGTTTCTCTTTTGCTGCATATTCCAAAGCCCTTATCGACCATCTTAAATCTCTTGATATTCCGATTCTTCCAGGCTTAACTGACAAAGAATTCTCCTCCATTGAATCAACTTTCCACTTCACTTTCCCTCCTGACCTCCGCTCTATCCTCCAAGAAGGCCTCCCCGTCGACCCTTCATTCCCAAATTGGCGATCTTCTTCTTCTCAACAACTTAACATTCTCCTTAACCTTCCTTTATTGTCTCTTCCCAAGAACATTACGTTACACAACTTTTGGTCTGATTCTTGGGGGCCTAAACCTTCAAATTCCAATGAAGCCGTGGCTTTGGTTAAAAACTTGCTACAAAATGCGCCGCTTCTTGTTCCTATATATAGAAACTGTTATATCCCTTCGACGCCAAACATGGCGGGAAACCCTATTTTTTACGTTGATGGAGAGGAAGTTAGAATATTGAGCTTTGATATTACTAGGTTTTTTCAAGAAGTTGAATTCTTGAGAAGAGGTGGGGTTTTTAAGCCTTTCATGAGGAGGAAAACCAATAATAACAACGTGCCAGCTTGGGCGGCGACCGCGGCGCGGAGGATTGAGTTTTGGACGGACGTGGCGGAGAGAGGGGGGAGAGTGGGGGCGCGTGGGGTCACGCGTGGGTGGTGGAGTAGGGTTGAGGCGGAGGAGGACTTGGGGTTAGGGGGATGTTTGGAGGAAGTGTTTTGGAGATTAAGAGAGGGAGGGTGGAGAGAGGAGGAAGTTAGGGAGATGATGATGATGGACGGCTGCGATCATAACGACAACAAGGAAAAGAGTGCGACCCAATTGGTGATGGTCGGAGAGGATGCGGAGTGGAACGTGAGGGTTTTGTCTGTCGTGTTATTACGTGCGGGATGGAGTAGGGAAGATGTTGTGTACTCGCTAGATCTCTGTGATGTTATTGATGAAGACGATGATAAGGGTGATGTTCTGTAGATAAAGACGATGACGAGGGTGATGTTATGTAGAAGAAAAGCCTTGTTTGGAACTTCAACGCTCAAGTAGTTGTTGTATTAAGGATGATGATCATCAAAAGAGGAGTATCAACGGTCAATTCAAGTGCACACACTTGAAGTGTGATTCAGATTTTCTTATAATGTTCATTTTAAAAAATTTAATTTATTTTGTAAATTATTTTTTTACATATATATATATATATAAAGCATTAAATACAAAAAAAAAGCTGTAGTATATATTTTCGTATTTTATATTTAAAAAATAAAATTTTTATTTTGATATCCAAAATTTCATTCTTTTAAATATTTTGATATTTTAAAATTTAAACTACAGCATTAATTAAATTAATTACATGATATTAATACATAATAAATTCTTGGCACAAAGTATTAATGTTCATTTGTTATTATATCGTTCGTTTTTCATTTCAATATTTAAATAAAAAATTCAAAAATTTTTAAAAATATATATTTTTAATTAAAATTTTAAAAAAATAAAAAAAGAAAGGAAAAGAATAGAGAAAGGAGGAAGGAAAGAGGAGAGCGAGAGAGGAAAAAAGGCGAAGGAAAAGGTAAGGACGATGTTGTTGGTCTGTTTAGGATCGAATTGGGTTGTCCTGCTCCGAATCTAATGGATCAGTGTCAATCAGTGATGTCACTAGTGACGGCAATCAAACCCGTCCATGACGGATTTTGGTCCGATCTGATTTTATGGAGTCAATTTTATTTTTTTTTAAATTTAAGTTTTTGATCGGATTGGGTTCGAGTTTGTCTAAAATCTGATTCGACCCGATATTATATAAAAAATTATTTTTAATTAATTAATTATTTATATATATATATTTATATAATGATATTTTTAAATATTTATATTTAAAAAATAATATTTTATTAATTTCGGGTCGGGTCGAATTCGGGTATAAAAAAATAAAAAATATTTCGGATAAAATCAAATTCGAGTTTAATAAAACATAAAATCGGATCGGGTTTGAGGCGAACAAAATCCGCCTCGAACCCGACCCGATGCCAATCCTAGATGTCATCCCTTGCCGTTCTCTCTCCTTTTTATCTATTCGTTTTCTCCTTCACCTTTTTTTTTTTCTTTATGATTTTTTTAAAAAAATTCATATTTTATTTTTTAACCGAGAGTAATAACATAAATTATCAACAAGCTTGATTAAATAAAAGTTAAAATATTAAAATGAATTTTTTTTCAAATATCATATGATAAAAAGTATATAATACAAAAAACATTTTAAATATTAATCCATCAATAAAAAAAAGCATATACATAATATATTTGGTCAATTTTGCCTTTATATATGAGTTAATAAACGGTCAATGGTGCTCTTTTATCTGCAAAAGCTGAATATTTTGAAATTGTGATGGGCTTGGAGTGGTGAATTAATGCTATTATCAGGAATTTAAAGGGGCAATAATTAAGGATATTGGAAACATAATACATTCTTAATTTATCGTTTATTTCGATAAAGAGGATCTAAGATTTTCTTTTTGTTTTTTTTTTTGAAAGGAGGATATAATTTGTTAATAAAATACTTGATTTTTAGTTATAATAATTAAAATTTAATTTCTTATAACCTCAAATGCTTAGTTCCTAACAATCTCAAATTAGTTTGTTCAAATTTTACCTCTCATTCAATTTGATCCAATATGATTATTATGTCACTCCTTTTGCCTTCAATCGTTCTGACGATAATTGTTTTCATTGTTTTATACTTTACAACAAGTTTTAACTTCATTTTTCAATTTTTTAATATTTAAAATTATAAAAAATTAATTTTTATTATTATAATTAAAAATTCATCATTCTATCAATAAATCAAATTATTATTAAAATTTTTCAAAATTCACAATAATCATTCAATTAATTATTATTGTTTTTATAAAATTAAAGGTATCGTGATTGTGAGTCTTAACTCGTTAAAAAAATAAAAAGAGCTTTCATTGAAAGTTGTGCTTACTAGTTAAGGTGTCATTTGAATGGATAGTGAGATTGATTATAATAAGATTAAAAATAATAATAAAAATTATTGTAATTACGATCGAAAAATATTTTTATAGCTATGATTGAAAGAAATTTTTAATAAAAAATTGATTTTGACTTATTTTTACTAAAATTAATATTTAAATTTAAATGAAAGTATGATAAATTTATCACACTGCACAAAAAATACGATAAAATCCAAACAAGACTAAGTATCTACCAAATGAAGCTACTAAATTCAATGCGTTAAGAAACCCAACCCTTTCACTTTCTTTGTAGAATTGAACTCAATACAAAACCATTGTCATCAAATTGCATTTGTCTTGGCCCTTTCAAGGCTTCAATTCAAGCCATAATTTGGTTTGAAATTGAGGGGTCTACGGACTATAGGAACATTGAATAAACCCATGTACATGGTCAAACCAAGACCCCCAAAAAATGACTCGTTCTTTCCCCGTAAAAGGTTCGAATTTTTGGACGTCACTGACTTTGACGGTGATTTAGAAGCTTTGCATATTAGACAACGGTCCAAGATGTGCATAATTTTTGAGATTGTGTTAGGTGGGCTTGTGGAAAAATTTGGGTCTTTTCCTTGGATGGAAGTTTGAAGCCGTAACTGAAATTTTTGGTTCAATGTGTTTGGAAAATAAGTCGATTTTCTTCATCTCTTTGATTTGGTAGTCAAATGGACGAGCATTACAAGATTGTCTGATAAAGCATTGACTTGAATATGTAATTGGGCTTTGTTTATTAGTCCCGTTGGATTTTATCATATTTTTTATGCGATGTGATAAAATGTAACATATTTTTAATATCCCTTCAAGCATTTTTATCGTATTTTTGGTACGGTATGATAAGGCTGTCATACTCATCCATTAAGCTTGGGCTCAAGAAATAAATGACAGATAGGAAAATTTTAGGCAATTCTCAAATTCAAAAGTGTAGCGTCAGCAGAAACAGCAGGATTTTTTTTTTTGCTTATGCATATGCTTTAAGTTGACAAACAAGTTCTAAATCTGTTATATGTATTCTGTTTTGAGTCAACGCTAGCAGAACTCTTAACTCGGTTGTAACCTCTTTATGAGAAAGGTACTTGCCTTTTCTTTTTGTGGTTGAATTAAGCGTGTTGTTATCAAGCCTGATTAATATGAGTAGAAAGATGAGAGATCTCCAGAAAAAAAAAAAAAAAAAAAAAAAAGAGTGCCGTTTGCAAGGTTCTGATTATATACAACAAGCACAGCTCCCGTTCAATTTTGCTGTTATTATTGTCATTTCACCATTATGTTAACAAAAATGAACTATTCTTTTTAATTATTGTAGGTAAACAGTTTATTTTTGGTGCTGGAGAAAATAATTCTGTGTGCAAATTTGTGTTTGTATCATTAAATATGTCTTTGTTTACAAGAATCCGTTTCCCATTAAAACCGTTCGGCTTAAGTCACAACATGATTTGCATCTATCCTTACGATAGCTCTCTACCCTAAAGAGCATTTGGTTTAGAAAAATCCAAAAAATTTTCTTTAAAATTTTGATTGTGAATGTTTGATTCTCACATTTAATTTAAGATTATTCAGTTTTTGAAATAAATATTATTTCTAACAATACTAAAAAATTTTGAAATAAAAAATTCAGTACTTCTCCTTATAATATTTTATGATTTCAAACAAAAAATTACTTAAATTTTATATTTGATTTGAATAAAAAAATATTTTTTATGTTATCTTTTAAAAAAAATAACGTTTAACAATGAAATTAAAATTCGACATTTGAAATGAATAAAATGCAATAGTTGTTTTTTTAATTTATATTTCATATTTCTATTACTGTAATTTTTTAAAGGTACGTGATAATTATTCTATAAGTATGGTTTCTTTTTTAAAAAATTGCAGTAATTAATAATTATTACATCTGTGTATTTTACCAATTGAAGTACTCTTTTTATCACAAACCCTATAACTGCCTTAATCTTAACTGCAACTATATCTCCAGCACCACCAACATTGCTGATGAGCAACGATACAAAGATGACTGAACCATCAATCGTAAATTGAACGCCTCCTTCCCTACACTTGACTCTGTTTAAACCAAGCAATAAAATATTCTTTTAAGATGAGAAGCTTAAAGTAGGTTATATGAAAGAAAGGAAGAGTTTGTACCTTCGATACTGAACAGGCATGTTGCCAGCCTTCCAAATGGCGATCTTCTCAAAAGCCTCAATGGGAAGCACGAAGTGCTCGTTGGAAGGATTACAACGGCCTCCACCATCCGCTGTAAACCCATAATTGGGAGCACAGAAGTTGGTGGCTGTAACAATGATAGAGGTCTATGCACCACCGCAGGTCATCCACGCGCCTTAGCTCGAAGCATGCGCCACTGATCTGCCCACGCTCAAACAGGGCCTCGGTTAAAAAGATCAATTAGCGCGTTTATTTTATTTTAAAATAAACGCAATAATAGTTTCTGATAATTTTTTTAAAGATGTTAAATGATTAATTATTACATTTTAAAAGAAAAAAACAATAATTGACTTAAGTTATTTTTTAAAACAAGATGTTTATTTGTTTATTGTGCAGTAATTGATTATTATAATATTTTTAATATAATTAATTATTACATTTATTTAAAAAATGACATAGTAATTGTTCATTATTATTTTAAAAAACATCAATTATTGTATTTTATTATATAAATACACTAATTGTACAATTTAAATTTTTTAAAAGATATTAAATACTATCTTCCTTTGAAGATAAACACAATAATTGATCACTATTTCATTTTATTTATTTTTTATAATTGGCAACTTGAATACTATATTATTTGTCAATTATTTTTTTTTAACAAAATGTTGTATTTGTTATGTTGTCAAAAATATTATGATAAAAATATATGATTTAATAAGCTTAGATTCACCCCAACCAAATATAAGAATTTGAAAAAAGAATGTCATGAAAATCATACTTTTCTCCGAAGATCACACTTTTTTAAATATCACATTTTCTTTCAAAATTTAATATTTTGCATATCAAACATCTTCTAAGAGGAAAGTTTAGCAAACTAAGGAAAGCAATTTAATTACACTTGAATTCATTAACTTCACATGATTGTAGTCTTTTAAAATTTTGGTGTATGCTTTTCGTGATTGACAACAAAGCATGCCATAACATTCACATAATCAGTATGATGGTATAGGTCTTCTGTCATGCATGTGTCTACATATCAAATGAAAAAGTTACAATTCAAAAATTATTATCTACTTTAATGTCATAATTATTTTATTACCAATTCTTAAGCTTATATTAAGTTACTTGTTTTTTTAAGGAAAATCTTCGGCTAGATAGCCTGCACCTGATGTATGGTGCTCAAAACACTGTATGTTAACCCTGTGGTTCCAATTGCAGTTTGGGTCCTAAGGTAAGTTGAGTCACTTGAACACCCTTACACTGATGACTGAAGATTAATGAGTCTTTTGTCTTTGATAAAAAGCTTTACATTATGAAGCAAATGTGGGAATTTTACATGTCTTGAAATATTTAATGCTAAATCCCTCATCTTCACCTTTTTTTTTTCACTAACCTCATAATTACTGCACAAGAAAAATCATTTTTTTACCCTTATCTTTAACAACCAGATTATAAACCTTTCATCCCAAATGTAGATTTTGAACCCATTTTTCCTATACAAAATCTTCTCATTGAAATCAAATAGTTAATAGCTCAAAAGACTCTTGAAAGTCATGCTAGAGACCTCATTTTCAAGTACCAAGCAATACTTATTGTGAAAAGAGGTGATTATGGTATCGGACCTATTGGATTATATCCAAAATATCTTTTTCTTTATCTTTTCCAAATACCTCACACAGCCAGATTGTTCAAAGAAGCACTTATTCTTTTATGGTATCTATGTTAAGTTTACACCATTACTATTAAGTTTGGCTCATTTGACCTTACTTGGGCTATCCATGTTCTCACCAATATAGAGTACCTAGAACCAGAAGACATTGCACTTGAAAAATTCTTACAATGGTTCAACATATTGAATAATTGGTTTAACTTCACCACAAGCCTTCTACAACACTATCATATCATTTTCATGTTTTATAGACCTTGTCAGATTCATCAAGATGGCTCAGTCAACTTTTAAGAACACTCAAATATCTACGTAGGTAACCCATATTCCTTGTACAAATCTATATTCTTATACTCTGATGAATACAAACTTTTCCTTAAAAGACTCTACAAAGTAAATCATATGTCAATTCTGAAAAACTTTATTCTTTTCAAAAGAGAATCATTGTGGTGGTATCTCTCATAATACATCTAAGAATTACACTTCGATCTTGACAAATGGATTCTTGAACATCTTTTTAACATTTGGTGGAGTGATCTATCTTGGAGACTTGTGAATTTTGATATCCTAGACCCTGCAGACCTAGCTCAACTCCTAACAAACCCATATTGGTAAAATCCATGAGAGTTTTAAAAAATCAAAAAAAGATTTGAACATAAAATGTATAGCCAATTATTCCAAAATGATGACCGAGACCTAGTAGACCTGAAAAAAGAGTTATTTCAATGGGTAGACAATTATTTATCCATCTAGTACCTTGAAGATTTTTCAAATAAATAATAGCACAATGCTGAAGCCATAAGAAACCTCTTGTTCTAATCAACAGTATGTATAATTATGGGTGATGCTATTAAAGATGCTTTTTAGACTCTTCCAAAGACTCAAAGACAAGATGATGGTACATCAAGTTTTACTTTTGTCAACATTAACTTTTGTGCCAACTTTATAACTACTTTAGGTCGCATAAAGTCTACTTTATTAAAGCTACTTTAATAAAACAAAAAGAATCTTACCTTTATTTTATTAAAGCTATTTTATTAAAATTATTTTAAGTCTAGTCGATTGCTTAGTCATGAACCTTATGTAATTGTTATAGGTCTTATTTAGTTACTATTTACTTACTTTTTCATTATATAAATTTGTAACTTCTTTTTCGAGAAGGTAGAGTCACCCAACTTCTTCAAAAAGTTTTCTTTTATAAGAAAACCTCTTTTATAAAATATATTTGGCTAAAACCTCTCATTTCATTTTGTAATTCCTTCTTCCTTCTTCAGTTGTTAGGTTTAAAATCAGAAAGAGTTTTCTATATCATGGTTTACAGTGATACAAGTTAAGTATGCTCTGTAATTATCATAGTATTATGGATCATCAACATTAAAAAGCCTTGTAGAGTTGTCAAACAGACCATTAATCTAATAGTTGTTTGATAAATTTGTTAGAATTATTACATTTTTTTCGCTATGGTAGGTATAACCTAGAATTTAACTTCCATTTGCATCCAAACACTAATAGTCTAATTTAGTTTAAGTATGTCAACTAAGGATATTCAAGCATTGTTTAACTATAAGCAGTAAAAAAAATAAAAGATTTTATTTTTTATTATGAGATTGCCAAGGTAATATATGGCACGCAATAGAGGTGACCAATCTAAAAATGAGAATTGGATAACTTTGAGTGTTAGCCTAGGCATCAAAGTCCTATAAATATAGTGTATTTATCCTCTTAACTTCATAAGTCCATCCTCAAACACTTTCCTTCAATGTTTTTCTAATAGTTTATCAATGGTAGGATTGGCAAGCAAGGGCCACTTTAGGACTCAAATATGGATGAATCAAAGAACAGATGCTCGGTAAGTTGCTTTCTTTAAACATTGATCTGGCCTTTTTAAAAAGGCCAGCGTTGTTTTTTCTTCTAGTGGTAAGGTCTTTTTTTTTTGCCATCTTGGTGTTGACATTATTATAAGTTCACTTGCTAAATGTAAGAAGCTTGATTTTGATGAAATCCACCATGCTGAGGTTAATCAAAAGGCCACTCTTCATTAGCTTAACAAATAGTATTCTGATCTACTTGAAAAACTCAAAGTTAAAAAAATTCGAGGTGAATGACTCAAATATATATGGATGGAAAGCCAAAGCTAGAGCCAAAGCTTAGTGGATAGACCACTTGATAAACTCAACTTGAAAGAGCTTCTAACACTAAAGTTAATGATAAAGGAGTTTAAAAATAAGTTAAAAAAAATTTAAGCATTAACTTTCAATCAAACCTGCTGCTTTAACTCCAATATCAATTGAAACAAGTAATATATCTTTTAGTGGTTCCACCAAGGGTGATTCTTCTATTGATCCTCATGACTATGATATTGGTTACGAACATTGATTTTCCCCTAATCATTTAGTTTTCAGAGGGTTTGTCTGAGGTGTCTTACCAAATGTGCTTTAATTTTGTGACTTGTTCTAGTCATTCCTCACTATTTGAGCATGTTGGACTGAGGAATGGAAACAGAATAAATTGAAAATCAATAATAACAAATTGGTTTCTCCTATGTATACCATTTTTTAAATGACAGTAGAATGCGTGATAATACGATATCTTTTTTTTTATTTTTTATTTTTTTATGCTTCAATTCATTAAACTTTAGCTTTGTGATAGCATGAGAATCCATGATTGTTTCATACACAATCCTAAGTTTCAAATAGCATTCTCTTAACGGAATAGTAGTTGTTATTTAGCGGTAATGGCACCCTTTGCCATCATTTTTTACCGTAATAGGGGTGTGCAGTGTGAATTACAGATGTAACGGCTTTTAGCGACTATAAATAGTGGCATAACAAAAAATAATGGTTGTAACGGGTCACTAAAACTGCTGTTGTTGTTTTTATTTTCTGCTCTATACCAAAACAAAAAAAATCCCCTCCATATTTAGTCAATTCAATCAAAATTAAATTAATTTAAATTGTAATCAATCAAAAAGATAGAATTGATTCAAGGTAACTAAAAATTACCATTTTTTTTCATATGTTTTAACATTTTAGTTGGGGATGGTCGTGAGAGAGAGCTTTGTTATGGCTTCCATGGGTGTTGGCTTCAGGTCAATTATCATCTCCAATCTTTACTTTTGAAAAATATAGATATGCGAGACTTTATGGTTGAAAAGCTTGAAAAAGAGATTGTGATGATATGAAATAAGCATTAGGGTGATTTGGCTAGGTTGGGTCATGGTGGTTCTGTTGGGGAAGAAAAGTGAAAATAACCAAGAGAAAAACAAAGAAGGGTGAGGAAATGGGCATATGGAAGGTTGCTTATCGATGATACAAAATCAAAAGTGGTTTTTTACTTCTATTGTTTAGGTGAAAATCTAAAGAGAGAAAGACAAATAGATGGTGAATATTGGTATTTTAATAAAATTTTTTTGATAATTTAAATGAAAATTAAAAGATAATTGAGTTGTTAATTATTTTAAGAGTTTAAGAAAGCAAATTTGGGAAAATAGGAAAATTTGAGAAGTTATCATTTTTTGGTTTTAAAAGTTAAAATTAATTTTTTATTTTTTCTTTTCTTGGATAAAAATTTTGAGAAAGAAAAAAAAATTTTAGGAGGGAAAGACACATGATTTGTGAGAAATGGAAATTTGAGAAATTTTTTTGAATATTTGAGAGGAAATATACATAATAAATAATGGATTTTATTTTCATAAATTTAGTATATGTTTTATTCTCATTTAAAAAAATTAATCTTAAATGATTAAAATTTGATATTACTTATGTTATTTTAATTGGTTTTATATTTTTTGTATTTGATTTAAGTTAGATTGACAAATATCTTGTTAATTAATATATTAAAACTTTCAGTTATCATTTTTCTAGTTAATTTAAAATTAATGAGCTTAATTTTATATACTTAAAAAAATAATTTCACATATGAAACTATTTTTTTAATCTCATGTATTTACATTTGTCATGATCATAAAATTCATGAATATGCATATTGAACACTTTTAAATATGCATATTGCCAAGTTATGTTATAAAAAATAATAATTTATTTTATCATATAAGTAAAGAAATTAAAATGTCATGAATTATTTTAGATAGCATAAAATAAGAGTTTTCATGAATAAAATTATTATTTAATCAAGTTTGGTGAGTCGTGCAAAAATAAAAAAAATTCACGATCGTAGTAAACGTAATGATCACTATTTTATTCGTTATATTCGCAACCGTAATAATTATTACGAAATTAAAAATTGACTATAACTGTAATTTGAATCTCTTACACGATCCTAATTCATCAAATAGAGTTTATCTTAATATACACACTCGAGGCAGACACAATAATGCTAGTTTGGCAGGGTAATGTCCGTATGAAATACTTGAGTTACATTAAAAAAAAAAAAGAATGGTGAGAAACAGTTATTGTTTACAAATTTTAAGGGATGAAATTTCCCTTTTTACTGAATTAGCTTGTAGTGAAAGACAGATTTGCAATGACTTTTCAGTGTTTGTTAAAAATGCATGCTGATTATCAACTTTAGTAGTTTGAAGTTAAAAATGTGAGGTTTGCATCTTGTTCTCATGCCAATTCATGATTTTTTTTTTTTATTCAATTGCCCCCTTTATTTCACAAAAGTTAACTTCAATTTAAGTACTAATTGATTTTTCTTATTTGAGAAAAGAGATTTGAAAATCTTGCATCAATCAATTAAATCAAATGTTTGGGATGTTAATAATAGTTTTTAATAATTTAATATAATTACAAAGTTCTCCTATTAAAAGAAATTGTTTAATTTTTATTATAATTTTTATTAATGCATGTAATTTTATAAAAAATAAAATAAAATAAAAAATTCTATTAACTTAAAAAAAAAATTAAAACTGAGAATTCTAAAAAGAGATAATAAATTTATTTCCTAATATGATCAGATTTTTAATATTTATCTCCTATTTATATTAGGGGAAAAAAGTTTATGCTTTTTTTGATGATTTTTATAATTTGTTAAAAAAACGAAAGTAAATGAGGGATAGGATCAAGAGCACGCACTTCGCACGTGCTAAACCCTTATCCTCTCATCGCTGACAATATAAGAAGAGTATAAAATGGGTTTTCCACTCTCATTTCATCAGAGAAAAAATCGAAGAAACATGGCGATGGCGAGCGTGCGATCTGGTCTCTTCCGAACCGCCCTTCGCGGCGGCTCTCGTCCTTCTGCTCCTCCCAAGCGAGGCTTCGCTTCCTCATCTCTTGACGACGATGCTCGTACGCGAGTTTTTCTCGCTTTTGTTTTCCTTTTAACAAAAGTTCAACTTTTTTTTATCTGAGTTGAATAAGATCTCTTTATTCATCTATTGATTGCTTATATTTTGATTTTTTCCTTTGTTTGGTGTTTTAGGGTTTATGTTTAGTTTACCCTTGAGATTTTGATGGAATCCGTGTTAGAAATAGAATAAGTAAAATAGATTTTAGATTATCAAAAAAATTGAAATATTTTGACTTCAGAAATAAATTTTTATAGTTAAAAATCCGATCAGCTCAAAAAAAAGGGACCTAATTATTCCTTTTAACATGAATTTATAATTTCTTTCTCAGATGAAACGGCAAAATGGGAGAAGATAACATATTTAGGCATTGCTAGCTGTACTGTTTTAGCGATTTATAACCTATCAAAGGGTCATCCCCACCATGAAGAGCCTCCTGTGAGCTTACTTTCTTTATTTTCAATTTTGATTATTTGTTTATTTTTTGTAAATACTTTTGTTATTAGTTATTGCTATGTTTTACATTTTACATTCACATTTAAAAGACGCATTATTTTTTATAGCTGATTGTCGGATTCTTTGTGTTGTTGGATGTTTGCAGCCGTTCCCATATTTGCACATTCGCAACAAGGAGTTCCCGTGGGGTATGTTATCCTAATTATTATTGGTTTCAATTTATTTAGGCTCTTTTTGAATGGTGTTTTGGTATTTAGATTTTTCTGTTTAGGTTTTATGGGGTCTTTCCATGGCAATTTAATAACATATCTGGAATTTCTTTTCCTTTTCCTCCATTTACTTAAAAGTACTAGAATGGAAGGAATTCTAGACAATTTTAGAGAATTTAGGGTCTGTTTGGAACCAGAACCAAATGGAATTTTGTTGGATTTGATTAATTGGAAATAAATTCAATTCATTTTTGTTCAAATCATTTGCTTTTGAAAGCATCCAAACACTATCTTAGGTAACTTTTATGGAGACTTAAGAACCAGCAGCTCATATTGACGTTGTGCGTGATAAGTAATATGGAAATGTGTCAACTGCCAACCAATTGTGTTCCCTTTTTTAACTTAACTTGGTTGCTGAAAATAATCAGTTTTCTATGGTCTACTTACACCCATAAAAAATGGCTCTTTTTTTTTTTTTTTTCCTGGTCGCTCTCTCTCTCTCTCTCTCTCTCGCTTGTTCTTTGCAGTTCTATACTAGATTAGAAGTGGAAATGATGTTATTCAATTTTTACCTCCTAGTTTATTTAGATTATACTTTACAAATTACAACACGAGTTGAAAATTTTCTCAAATATCAAAGGCCAGGAGAAATTCCCTTTCAGCATATTTTACATTCGATGCTTTTAGATATATTACACATCATTTTAAATAGTCTTTTCATGCCTAGGTCCTAATAAATTGCTAAGACTTCCATCCAACATAAGGCCTGATTTAAAAGTCATTTAAATTCAATCGTATAACAATTATATCAGTGGGTTTCTCTCGTTTTATATTGTTTTAACCTACCTAAGGATTTTGTAAACAACAGAGTTCAAGTTTTTGCTTTGTTCCGATATGTCTTTTAAAATTTCATAAATTATTAATTGATGTTTTTCTTTCCTTTTTCAAGATAATAGAAAGTTTAATTACTGTTACTTGCTGGTTGGAGAGTTTGACAATCATATTGCATATTACTGTAAAAGAATCACACTAGTTCTTATTCGTAAAATCGTTTGCCTAGGCCATTGCATATTTATAATAATTGGAGATTTTTTTAGCCTTGTCGTTGTCATCAACTGCTGGTGTGGGGTTGTCCCTCTGTAAGTGCATTTTGAATCTCAGAAAATACATTAGCATGTATTGTTATTTTTGTGATTGATGAACCTATTTAAAAGAAACATGCTGATGAGTGATCAATGAATGTAGTTATATGGTGTAATGTTATCATTTCTAATATGTAATTATGCTTTTCAATATTGGAAGTGAATGTCTGTTTGTTCAAGGACGGTATAAATTAAGTTTATCATTCGCATTTATTTATATTGGTTGATTCAATCCTTTTATCCTGGTATTTAGGTCCAGATGGTCTGTTTGAGGTGAAGCATCACTAGGACAACAGATGGCCTGTTGGACACATTTCTTTCCGAGTTTAGCCCATTTTCTTCATTGTTACACAGATCAATCAGATAACTGTGGATCTTTTCTTGGATGTTGATTTTAGCACTTCCATTTTGCTTTCTGGATTTCAAGACTTGCATTGCAAGTTCATCAGGCTTTCTGTATGGTTGTGCCCATACTCTACTTTTTTGAAATAAAATTGATGAATAATTCATTGTTTTCTTTACACCTCACTTTCTTAGTTTTTGTGTTGAGGCTCACATAAACTATTGGGAAACAAAATTTTCCTTTTCAACCCCATTTGATACATCAAATCACCATATCTGCCAAAAGGGGTTGTATGTTTCAGGTTTTGACCCATTTTTTTATTCATTGGGAAGATTGAATCTCTTTCAATTTTAGCTGCTAATTACTTTGTTAACCTAAATTATTGGTGACAATAAAATGGGATGTCGGGGTGTTGGTGGATGATGTTGGCATAATTTCCAAAGGTCCTTGCAAAGTTGGCAATGTAGTCGGGCTGCTTTTAGGGAATACGAAAGAGTGGAGCTTCAGGAGAATTGGAGAGTTGAAACTACCTATCAAGAAAGGAGGATAAAACGAAAAGAAAAAGATTGAAAATAAAACACTACCCATTGAGAGATGGGATATTGTTAAGATCATGATAAAATCATTCGAGACCGTTCTTATTTAAGGGATAAGTGTTGGATGGAAGGTCTTTTCATAAGCAATAATGTTGCTACAAATTTTATTTCACTGGCGAATTTAGCGACTGGCATGTGAAAACATTGAAATTGTAGCACTTGCTACACCAATTATTAATTGTCAAGTCATTTTAAGGAAGAGGTTTGACAAGTCTTTTATAAAATTATATGCATGTAACATTGCTTTTCTATCCAAGTTTTGTTTGTCAATATGAGATATTAAGATGAAAGTGAAAGACGAAGTTATATTGAAACTAAAGCAACTAATTTTGATTACCAATCGACCATTACACCACGGGAGGGAGGAATATAGAATGTAAGCTTGAGATATTCATCAACAGCCATAACCAAGGGGTTTTATGAATCCGAGCGGATGTTGGGATGTCAAAGATTAAGGTTGAGAATTGGTTTTCATATAGATTATGTGCTTTGCCAACCCCACTGGTCCTTGCAAGTTACACATTTATGGATTCGGAAAAAAAGAGGCTGACAGCCCTATTTCAGTATGATGATTTATGCAGCAACTAGACACATTTGCAGAAAAACTTGAGGATTTTCTATTGCTAAGACCTTCATTTTTGCGAGACAGTGGAACACAATTTAAAACTACATATGAGGCTTATGAAAACTTGGAACGTCGATCATCGTAAATACAAATCTGCAAGTACAAAAATAATATTTTTTAACAGTAATATCACAATAAAGCACAAGAAGTAGCCAAGAACTTACAATTACCTGATTATCTCGGGAAGAAGAAAACAAAAATTTAATGACAGTAATTGTCATGTACTGAACAATAAACCATTAGGGATTTCACTCTGCGGCTGCATTCTCACCGTTATTCCCCTTAATTCTGGTATCCGGTAAAGTCCTCAAATCCGCTTGATATTCTTTCACTTCTTCAGGAGTTGAAAAATTAGAAGAAACATTGGGATTATTCTGGCTGGCATCACTGTTTTCATCTGTATTTAACGATGCATCTGATGAATTTGAAGATGCAACTGATTCTTTTTGGTCTGAATTTACATCGTAATTAGCACTTCCATTGTTGTCGGTGTAGCTCTGTGGAGCGTTATTGTTCTCATTCGAATTTCCATTGTTGTCGCTGTAGCTCTGAGCAGCATTATTGTTCTCATTCTGACCTGCATTTTCATAATTGTAGGTCTGACGGGCATTTTTCTCATTCTGACTTGTGGATTCACTGCTGTTGGTGTTGCTCTTAACAGCATCGTTGTTCTCATTCTGACTTGCATTCTCATTGTTGTCGTTGTAGTTCTGAGAAGCATTATTCTCAATCTGACCCAAATTTTCATTGTTGTTATAGCTCTGAGCAGCAGCATTGTTCTCATTCTGACCTGCATTTTCATTGTTGTTGTTGTTGTTGATGTTGCTCTGGGCAGTATTTTCATTTTCATTGGAATTATTATCCTTTTGAGAAACATCTTCATTTGCGTTTGCATTGTTGTTGGCATTGCTCTGATTGTCAGCGCTGCTGTCTTTCCCACCTGCATTTGTGTCATTGTTGGTGTCACCACTATCATTCTCATTCTGACCTGCGCCAGCATTATCATTTGTGCTTAACAACAGAACATTTTCTTGTGTCCCCTGTCCACCAGAAATTTTGTTGGATTCCTCGCTGTGAACTGTGTTATCATTTTGGCTTGTAATTGAAGGTGCAGAATTGCTGTCTGATCCTGTCCATGCATTGAAGTTCTCAGTCTGTCCATTTGACTCAACAGATACAGAGTTAGTAGAACCTCCATTAACTCCATCCCCGTTCTTAGTTGATGTTGGAGTTGCATTTGAATCTGATTGCTCGTCATTGCCACCCAAGTCAGATTTCTCAGATTGTAGAACTATATCATTTTCATTCTTAGTTGTATTGGGTGTTGTATCTGTCCCATCCCCGTGCCCATTTGATTCTGTAGCTATAATGAAACCAGGATGGGAATCTTCTTTCGACTCAGCCTGAGTGCTCTCATTACCACTCTCTTGATTGTTTTCAGTTGTTTCATTTTCTTGCACATTTGAATCATCATGATGGACATTGGCTGCTTCAGAGTTATCTGTTTTGCTCTTTTGGTCAAATTCATTGTTATCTATGTTTTCCAACTGCTCTGAATCATTGGAATTTTCTGAACCGCTCGTTTCATTCTCAACTGCTTCATGTTGGATATCATGGACTACTTCACTGGAAGCATCATCCCCCTTGTAATGTTCCTCTCTGGCTTCTGCATTATTCATGTCCATTCCATCCTGAACCTGATCACCTGAACTACCGGAATTCTCTATGTCACCTTCACTCTCTTCTGTCTCTTTCTCGTTGCTTTCCATTTTATTACTCTCTTCCCCAATCTGTTCATTTTCCTTTTCTTGACTCTCCTCCGTGTTTTCTTTCTCTTCATTATTGGCCTCTTGTGTCTCCTCAGTAGCCTTATTTTCACTGTCCTCGGGGCTGAGTTCACTCTCCTTGTTTTCACTGTCCTCTTTGCTCTCTTCATTTTCTTTTTCTTTGCTCTCTTCTATCTCCTTCTCTTCACTGTCGTTGTTCCTACTTTCTTCATCAATTGAAATTTCTCTGCGCTCAGTTTCCTCCTCAGGTTTCTCATTATCATGCCCATGAATTGCATCGTCTCCTTCATTTTCAGTTTCGTCAGCCTTGTTCTCTTCGTCTGCATTCTTGCTTTCTTCCTCTTTGTGCCTTGCATCCTTAACAGTTGTTTCCTCCGCTTGAGGAAGGTCCTTTCTCCCCATCTTTATGACTTCATTTCCAGATTTCTGGTACGCCGCTTTCTTGTCATTGGAGTGCCTAACTTGGTAAAGCAGCCAGATGCAAACACCAACCAGAAGACATATTTGTAAAACATGCTTTACCTTGAAACCTTTGGATCTTTGGTTCCTACGAGGTGAAAGCCTGAACATGATGAACGTCCTTCAACTAACCTACCGGAAAAAACACCACCAAACATCAGAGTTCTTCAAGACACGTATAATCATTTATAATACTACAATATTTCATCAAAAAGAAGTTTGTGTTAAAGCAGCAACAGCATCACATGACAGAATGAATGTGAAAAGTCAAACAGACAATGTTTCGATTGTTCAAAGAAAATATAAGCAACGAAAATCCAGGTCATCCCATGAACTAAAGCTCAGATAGTAGTTTATCATGAACAAAACACAAAATTCGCAAGCTTGCATAAGTCATTAATGAAAAAAGCATAGATATTCAATTCAACTTTCCACTTATCATAAGAGAATATGGTTGAACACACTAACAAGAACAATTACAGCAAATCTAATCCAAAGGAAACATAAAGACATCAATGAGATCAAACCTTCAAACTAACAAAAACAAAGATCAGTGCATCAACGACACCAGAATCCAGTGCTCATTTAAAGCTTTAACCAAGACATAAAAATAAAATCTTTTGTCTTTTTACGGTAAAAACACACATAAAGTAAGTTAAAAAGACGTGAAATGAAGAGACAAAGATGAAAAATATTACAACTTTGAAAAACTCCACCATTTGGCTCATTGAATCACTATAATAAAGTCCTATGAAAACCATTCATGTTTTTACTCCAGGTAGAAAAGAAATAAAATGCAGGATCAAAAAGCATTACAATCTGAAACAGATCAACCCTTTATATTTCAAAGCAAACCCACTTTGAACACTTCAAAATTAAATTCAAAAGGCTTTGATATGGACTTACCCAGAATCCAAATGATCACAAAGAAACTAACAAAGGAAACTTCTTTTAAAAGTGGGAATTCCGAAAATGGTATTATTTCCAGGAATTTGCACAAAAGTAAGAAGAAAAAAGAAAACAAAAATACTTGATTTCAAGATTAAAAGCTATGGCATCGGAACCAAAATGAGATTGGATCTGGAAATGGAAAAGCAGTGTTTCGATCACCATGTATATTGCGCTCCTTGGAACTCGTACTCTTTGTCTTCACTCTCTTAATGGCGCGTGAACATAACGACTGAATTACGTCGTTTTAAAGGAGTTGTCCGCTTCATCGCTGTCGTTTTGTAAAAGAACTAAACATTGGTAGGTGGTAAGTATTATAAACTCCGCATGAAACTAAACATCATTAAACCAAATTATTCAGACTTATTTCCTTAGGGCAGATACTTGCCACGTGGCATACGAGATCTTAAAAGTCGGCTATCGATAGCTTATCAAAACCCATCTTTACCCTAATTTGTTATTTTTCTACTTTGCTTCCCTGTAACGCCGATAAAAAAGGGGAAAGTCCCTAGAAGAAAAGGAAAAAAAAATGGCCTCGAAGCTTCTTCGTCAAACCCTAACGAAAACCAAACCAACCAATGTCATCCGCCGCTTCTCCACAGCGGCTGCCATCGCTTCCCCTTCAGAGTATGAGGACCCAACAGGAATCACAATGAAAGGCGTGAAAATTGCGGGCCGTCCGCTTTACCTCGACATGCAAGCGACTTCCCCAGTGGACCCTAGGGTTTTAGATTCGATGCTACCGTATTACCTTTCCCGTTACGGAAACCCTCACTCCCGTACTCATCTCTACGGTTGGGAATCGGAAACCGCCGTCGAAACCGCCCGTGCACAAGTTGCCACACTTATCGGAGCTTCCCCGAAAGAAATCATCTTCACTTCTGGCGCCACCGAATCGAACAACATCTCAATCAAAGGCGTCATGCATTTTTACAAAGACAAGAAGCGCCACGTTATCACGACCCAAACGGAGCACAAATGCGTTCTGGATTCCTGCCGGCACCTTCAACAGGAAGGTTTTGAGGTAACTTATTTGCCTGTTGGGTCTGATGGGCTTATTGATTTGGATAGATTAAGAAAAGAAATCCGGCCCGATACTGGGTTAGTTTCTGTTATGACGGTCAATAATGAAATTGGGGTGGTTCAACCGATTGAGGAAATTGGTAAAATTTGTAAAGAATTTAATGTCCCTTTTCATACTGACGCTGCACAAGCTTTAGCGAAGATTAAGATTGACGTAGACAAATGGAATGTTAGTTTAATGAGTTTAAGTGGGCATAAAATTTATGGACCTAAAGGAGTTGGGGCTTTGTATATGAGAAGGCGGCCACGGATTAGAGTTGAGCCGCAAATGAATGGAGGTGGGCAAGAGAGAGGGATAAGGAGTGGGACTGTGCCTACTCCACTTGTTGTTGGGATGGGAGCGGCGTGTGAGTTGGCGTTGAAGGAAATGGAGTATGATGAGAAGAGGATTAAACGTTTGCAAGAGAGGTTGTTGAATGGGATTAGGGAGAAGATTGATGGGGTGGTGGTGAATGGAAGTATGGATAGGAGGTATGTTGGAAATTTGAACTTGTCGTTTGCATATGTGGAAGGGGAGAGTTTGTTAATGGGGCTGAAAGAAGTGGCAGTATCTAGTGGGAGTGCTTGTACTAGTGCAAGTTTGGAGCCTTCGTATGTGTTGAGAGCATTGGGTGTGGATGAGGATATGGCACATACCTCAATTAGGTTTGGGATTGGGAGGTTTACTACTGAGGAGGAGATTGACAGGGCAGTTGAGCTTACCGTGAAACAGGTTGAGAAATTGAGGGAAATGAGTCCGCTTTATGAGATGGTGAAGGAAGGGATTGATATTAAGCAGATTCATTGGGCACAACATTGATCAAGTTTTGAACATGGTTGAGGCTGTTTTGATATGGATTGCATGTCAAAGGAATATTGGCCTCCGGCTAAAGCTGCTTAAGAAGAGCTGGGATCGTGTCACTTTATCCTGGTTTTCTTTTGTCATCCTTGTAAGCCTTGTGAGCTGTCATAGTTAATTTATATGGTTAGCAGATGGATCATCTATTGGGCTGGTGTTAGAGTAAAACATACTCAAACTCTTTAAACATAGGCATATCCTAATTTGATAATAGGAATAATAAGAGATGCTTCTGCTATAGTAACAAAATTGTTTTTTTTTTTCATGTTTTATTACCTCTGAGCTCACTTGTGTTGATTACAAAATACTCATTACTTATAATTATACTCCAATTCTGCTAGCAATGAAACTTTTGCAAAGTCTCAGATCAAAGCATTGTACAGTGGCTTATCAGTCCTCATAACTGAAGACCAAAATTGTAAGTGCAAATCATTTTACATTGGATTTATTCATTCGAGGTTTTGCAACAGTGCCTACTGTTTTGAATACATCAAAAAGGTTTTGGTTGTTTTACATTTTCCCCTTTTCCTTGAAAAGTAGGTAATTTGGTCTCGCTATTGATGAATGCTGCCTCTTGTTAACCATGTTTGGTAGTTTTATTGAATTAAATTGTGGGGTAGGGTGCACAATGCTTGTATTTTAATGGTCTCATGCCACTATAGCTTGATAGTGGTCTCTAGAATGAAGAGTATGCCTGGATCATGATTGTCATTCACCCAATAATGTTGTGTTTTTAGATTGAGGAGTGTAACTTGGAGTGCATTTTCTGAGCTGATTGGGAGAACTGGGGAGACAACATGAACCCTGTTTCTTGAAATGTGCATAGAAGGCACTTGGTTGAATCACACTTTTAGTTTTCCCTATTTAGTAATGCATTAAGATCAGCTAATGTCATATTAGAACTGCCTACCCTCGGTCCTTTAGGTTTAATGGTTGTCAATGCTGCAAGTTGTTGATGATGATTCATGCTTATAAGGCTCAAAAATTTCGTGAATTTGGCTTGTTGAGCTCCTTCCCTAGTGTATTAGTGTTTATGCTTGTTTTGAGCCTATGGATAAATTTTCAAGAAAAGATATGTTATGTATGCTTCCATATATGATGCGACCTGATCATTGATGACAATGAGTCAATGATGATGCAGTTGGTTTTCGACTTTTATAGATTCTGAGTTGTGGAAACCTCCTTTTTCTGAATATTAGCTGTTTGGATTGCTTTAGAGGACATAGACTTCTGTTTGAAAAATAAAAAAGTTTCTCAAAATGGGCAAGGTTCAGAGCCCAGTTCATCCTATCCTTGTCATTTGAGCTAACCTCAAGTGGCGGTTTATCACAAACTCTGCTTTTGAAGCAAACATAAGCCATTGTTAAACGTTGTTAATGAAGCTTCTAACTGGTTCCAAACTATGCTGTCTGTTATAAATCTAATAAAGTCTGGTAAAGTACTTCACTGGGGGGGGGGGGGGGCAAACAAAGGATTGTTTAGGCTGGTTCAGTCACAATCGCTATAATGAGGTAGATATTTAGTAATTTAGCCATAGCCAAGTACCTGACAATGCTCGTTGTTGATCTTCAGTAATACCTCGTTCCTTTATGTTCCGCGAGCAAGCTCTCCTTGTGGCTTCATGAAAGTCTGTTTGATCATCAGCTTCCTCGGCTGCAAGTTTGGAGAAATGCAAAGGCAGGGACCAAAGGTTCTGGCCCAGCAAATCATTGTGGCTATAGACAAGACTGGTTTAAGTGTATTCACCTGGGAGCTTAAGTGAATGTAGTAGTATTTGAGTTAATTATAATTTCGGTACCTAAATTTTGAGAAAACGTACAAATTAATACTTAAAAAAATAAAATATATAATTTACGTCTTATATTTTTAAGTGATATATAATTTGTATTTTAAGTTTTTAAATAATGCAACATATTAATTTAGACTTTAATTTTGCTAACTAATACATGCAATATTCGATAAATGTTATCAAGTTATATATTCATTATGCATATTATTAATATTTATTTTAATATAAACTAAAAAATATTTTTTAAAATCGATTAATTATTTTTTATCATGGGATATCCACGTGAAGCCAAAGAGAAAAATATTTACTTTTTTACCTTCAGCTTTGTATCTCACTAGGGTTGTGCTTAAAATCAAGAGAAAAAGACGGGAAAAGTAGCAAGTTCTCAGGCAAATTATGAAATTGTGACTACAAACCATTATGATGAAAAACAGAATAATAGAAGGAAGCCAATGAGGCTTCCAAATAAGCAAATTTGGACACTTGGAAGTTTGGAAAGCAAAATGTGCAAAATGGGATAACAGAACAAGAATGGGGTTTCAGTGAATGAATGAAAGCATAACATAAGCGGTATAATAATTTTGCTACCGAATGATCTTATGAAACTCTTTACGGTTACTACGTATAATAATTTCTTTATTCAATGTATTGAAAATCATCAATAAAGTTGTCAATTATTGCATTACATGGGATAATATTATAAATGATTCTAAATTATACTAAAATATTTAATATGATACTTAAACTTAAAAAATTTTTAAATAATATTTAAATTATAAATTTGTTAATTAATATGATACTTAAAGTATTTTTTATTTGTCATATGCTATCATTAAGAATTAGATATATTAGAATAAAATATCACATTAATTAATAAATTTATAATTCAAATATTATATTAAAAATTTTTAAAATTCAAATATCATATTAAATATTTTATTATAATTCAAAAATAATTCATAACATTAACCCTATTTAACACAATATTATTACTATATTAACTAACCTTAAAATAATGCCTAAAGACACTTGTCACATCCTAAATATATTTCCCCAAATTAATGATGTCTATCATAAAATGCACGGGGCTTATATACGGTGTGTTCTATTGATTATGAATTGATCAAATTATAATCATATTGCTCCATTTTAATTATTAATCAAATAACATTAATAGCGTTTATAAATAAAAAGATAAAAATAATTTTAATAAAATTTTAAAAAAATAATAATATATAATTATTATTATTATTATTTTAGTGCAACTGATACACTTCTCAATGACTCGCCGGTGTGGGCTTGGCCGCAGTTTCTTTTGGCGTATGAAATGCGACGAAAATGTTATATAATATCTTTCATTTTCGAGACTTATTTTTGTATAGTTTTACATTGTGGTATACTATTTTTTTTATCAAAAAAATTATAAATATTAAAATTCAAATCATAAATTTGTTAAATATTATTTTTAAAAATTTGAATTTTATTTTTGAATTATTATTATTTATCTTTGTGTCAGATTACGATGATTTTATATTTGATATAATAAAAAATCATAAATTTAAAACTATAATAATCCTCTTTAATTTCATAAACTTTTCCAAATCTATATTAAAGTTTGAACTCCAAAATTTCATTTCGGAAATGTCAATTTTTAGTTAATAGTTGAAACGTCCTCTTAGAAGTAGGAATCACATTACTGAATTTCACTCTCACCTCATAATCATGCACGTGAAATGGTATTACAATCTCATTAAAATTGATTAAAATAGTTTCCTGTTGGGAAAATTTTTGGTTAAAATAATTTGATTATCATTTTATCTAAACAGAGAAGTTGAAGTTAGATTTTCTTTTTCCTCTAACAATAAATTTTTTTTTTAAGAAAAGAATATATATGATACGTTGGTTCTGAAAAGCCCATTATCGAAGTTGGTTTTCAAAGTGAAAAGAAAGGAATTAAAAAGAAAGTTGAAGTTGAAATCCAAGTTGCTAATGGCCTTTCTTAGTGAGATTGAAACCTTGAAATGGTAATGGATAATCCTCTCCAATATATGGACCACTTACAGAGACCCTAGGCTATATGTTTTAAGTGTAACTTTCTAATTTAAGGACTTGGGTCCCTAGCCTTGCCCCAACCATAGTTGTTCACGATAGAATTAACATCCATAGCATTAGAAAGGAAATCATATATCATATATCATATATAATATTATATTATAAGATATATGATTATCAAAAAAAAATTATTGATGTGGACCTTGTTTATATGGATAGTTTTTCTTTTTGACACGTACAAAAATTTCTGAAACTTTTTTTTATAACGATAATATGATTTTTTTAATTTTAAACTATTTATCAAGAAATATATATTTGAAAGTTTATTTAGTTATGAAAAATTTTCAAAATTTAAATAGAAGACCAATTCATATATATATATAATAAAATTTTATCATATTATCTATAATTAACTCTCTATTATTTTTTACAGCAATTGTTGTTCTAATTTTAACAATATCATTTTACAATAAGTTTTGATTTTAAATATTCAAGGGTTGATTTCACATTATCAACATTTCTTTCAACCAATTTAAGTTTAAAATAATTGAATATATAAAATTATCCATTTAAAACAAAAAGTAAACTATAATATAAATTTGAAATTTCAAAATTTAAAATTTAATCTTATTTAATTCAGATTTCATTAGTTATGTAGATGTATCTCTTTTTTTTTATTTTAAAAATCTTAAAATTAGATATTTTTACTTGCATAAATTCTTTTTATATTCTTTTATTTTTTAACATTTTAAAATTTAAAACGCTAAATATCACTTATTATATTTTTTAAATTCAAAATATATTTATCAATTTGAAGATTGTCTATACACTTTAATTATCATGCAGTAAATCTATAAATAGTTTGTGCTACACCATTATTATTTTTTCAATTTACAACTTTTCTTTGAAAATACTTTTATAATTTTATTCTAATAAAAAAATTATTTATTTCAATTTATTTGTCTTTTAATACTCATTTACTATTTTTTTTCTTTCATATTTTGTTTAGGAGTTTTGATCAATTATCATAGAGAGATGGTATGTTTTATAGATGTTTATTAAAATTCTTTTGTTTTCCAAAAAAAAATTTATATTAAAATATAACTTTTTTTGAATATTGAAATAAAGATATTATTCATATAAAAGAGGTCGTTATAGCCAAGCTACAAAATCGTAAGATCCATGCATTCTCATCTTAACTAGAAAATCTGCCAAATAATTAGTTTCTCTAAAAACATGTACGAAAGTGATGCTATATCAAAAGATAACTTACTATATTATAATCCATGTGATGCATGAAATAATTTTATTTATTTAATATAAATATGTATATATATATAAATTAATTTTTTTAAAAATTATATATATATATACAAATTATTTTTTTTCAAAATTATATTCAAATCTTTAAAACTCATAACATATATAAAATTTATATATATTAACTTGTCATTAAAAAATAAAATTTCTAAAAACAGCAAGAAAAAAATTGTCTTTCA